TGTGCAGTGCGATAGTATGTACTAGAGTATCATAGTATAATAGTATGTACTAGAGTATCACAGCATAATAGTATGTAGAACGGTATGATAGTATGTAGTACAGTATGATAGTATGTACTAGTGTATGATAGTATAATAGTAGTGTGTAGTATTCTCACCTGGAGTGTTCTTGTTGCCTTGTTTACCCACAAGCCCTCTGGCTCGGATCACCTCCACATCCAGACGCTCCTTCCTGTACACCATCCCGATCTGGATGTCACCTGACCACCAATCAGCCAATCAGAAGGGCTCATGTTATACGATGTCACAGATAAGTCATTAACAATAAAAATATAAAGTGTAAATAACATTTTGATTGGTCATTTACCCATCGGAGGCGTGGCCAGAGTCTGGCGTCCAGCCAGCTGGGCGGGGCCTAATCCATCCAGGAAACCGGTGAACTGTTTGTCTGATGCCAACTTCACTCCTGGAAATATCAGCCTGTGAGAGGGAAGAGTGAGAGGTTAAAGAGAGGAGTGAGAGGTTAAAGAGAGGAGTGAGACATTAAAGAGGAGTGAGAGGTTAAAGAGAGGAGTGAGACATTAAAGATAAGACTGAGATGTTAAAGAGAGGAGTGAGAGGTTAAAGAGAGGAGTGAGAGGTTAAAGATAAGACTGAGAGGTTAAAGAGAGGAGTGAGAGGTTAAAGAGAAGAGTGAGAGGTTAAAGAAGAGTGAGAGGTTAAAGAGAAGAGTGAGAGGTTAAAGATAAGAGTGAGACGTTAAAGAGAGGAGTGAGACGTTAAAGAGAGGAGTGAGACATTAAAGAGAGGAGTGAGAGGTTAAAGAGAAGAGTGAGGTTAAAGAGAAGAGTAGGAGGTTAAAGAGAAGAGTAGGAGGTTAAAGAGAAGAGTAGGAGGTTAAAGAGAGGAGTGACACATGAAAAAGAGGAGTGAGAGGTTAAAATGAGGAGTTATACATTAAGAAGAGGAGTGAGAGGTTAAAAAGAGTGATATATAGTGACAGAGTCGTGGTAGAGTGAGTCAGGAGAAAGGATATCTTACGCTCCAGGTTTGGGGTCCTCGGCGTCCGGGTCCCGGCTCGGCTGTCGGGTAAAACGTGATTTAAACTCGATGGCTAAACCTGTTTCTACACTCCTCTGGACAGGGAGTCTCACAACCTTTTTCTTCTTCTCTTCCTCTAGATAAATGAAGGGGGGGAGAAGAAGAAGAAGAAGTGAATATGAGCTGGTAACTCTGCGTGCTTCCTACATGTTTTCATGGCTCAGCTGTTTTGTTGCTTCCTGTCAAACTCTAAACATAGAGGTTTATTTTAACCCGAACCATGATGTTTTCTGAACCTAAACAAGTAGGTTTGTTGCCTAGACTTAAACAAGTAGGTTTGTTGCCTAGACTTAAACAAGTAGGTTTGTTGCCTAGACTTAAACAAGTAGGTTTGTTGTCTTAACCTTAACAAGTAGGTTTGTTGTCTTAACGTAAACAAGCAGGTACGTTGGACAGTATCCATTCAGTCTCCATGATGAGTGTGGATGGAGACGTTGAATGGAGAGGTCTGGACTCACCTTCAGGGTTTAACTGGGAAGCGCTCTGACTCTTCTTTCCCAGACTTAATCAAGTAGGTTTGTTGTCTAGACTTAAACAAGTAGGTTTGTTGTCCAGACTTAATCAAGTAGGTTTGTTGTCCAGACTTAATCAAGTAGGTTTGATTTCKAGACTTAATCAAGTAGGTTTGATTTCGAGACTTAATCAAGTAGGTTTGATTTCGAGACTGAATCAAGTAGGTTTGATTTCGAGACTTAATCAAGTAGGTTTGATTTCTAGACTTAATCAAGTAGGTTTGTTGTCTAGACTTAATCAAGTAGGTTTGTTGTCTAGACTTAATCAAGTAGGTTTGTTTAGACTTAAACAAGTAGATTTGATTTCTAGACTTAATCAAGTAGGTTTGATTTCTAGACTTAAACAAGTAGGTTTGATTTCTAGACTTAAACAAGTAGGTTTGTTGTCTAAACGTAAACAAGGAGGTTTGTCTAAACGTAAACAACGTAAACAAGCAGGTACGTTGGACAGTATCCATTCAGTCTCCATGATGAGTGTGGATGGAGACGTTGAATGGAGAGGTCTGGACTCACCTTCAGGGTTTAACTGGGAAGCGCTCTGACTCTTCTTTCCCAGTCCCACCATTCCCATCATCTTTGCTCCGAAGCTCGAGCGTCGCTTCTTGTCATCATCGTCATCGTCATTTCTCCCCAACGAACAAATCTCTCCTCCGACGCTGGACGACTTTGTGAGAGGAGCTCCAGCGGCCGGTGCTGCCCTGCAGGAAGGGGGAGGAGCAAACACACCTGTGAAACCTGTGAAGTGTGTGTGTGTGTGTGTGGGTGGGGGGGGGGGGGGACACTTCTGTGGTGTTGGGGGCTGCACTACTGTTGCTTACTTACTTTGAAGGCTCAGGCTCCACCTCCTCTGCTTCCTCCACTGATTCGCTCTTCTGCAGCGTGGCTGTGTCCTCTTCTGCCACCGCTACTTCCTGTGTTACCTCTGACCCCGCCCCCAACTCCACCGATTGGCCCTCTAGAGCCTCTGCCCGACTGCTGTTGCCAATGAGAGGAGAATAGAGCAGCATGCGGACGAAACATGCCACAAGAAACGGAATGATGGAGAGCAAAAACATTCTGACATAATAACAGAAACAAGAGCATGCTAACAAGCAACATGCTAATAACATGGTATTCAAATAACAAGATGCTAACCTGTTAACTAAAACATGCTGGAGGATAAGCAATGCATCATGGGATGTATGTGTTTCTTTAGCTGACGGTACAGGTGTGAGTTAACAGTAATATCTAAAATTAAACAAGTGGGTTTGTTGTCTAGAAACAAGTAATCTTAAATAAATAAATAAATATCTGCGCCTAGATATCCTGTCCATGAAAATCACAAACAGGACCGGTGACAAAGGGCAGCCCTGGCGGAGGCCAACACCCACCGGGAACGTGTCTGACTTATTGCCGAGAATGCGGACACAGCTCCTACTGCAGCCGTACAGAGACCGGATCGCCCGTTGCAACGGGTCCGGCACCCCATACTCCCGCAGCACCCCCCACAAGAACTCCCGAGGGACCCGGTCGAAAGCCTTCTCCAAGTCCACAAAGCACATGTAGACTGGTTGGGCAAACTCCCAGAACCCCTCCAGTAGTCTTGCGAGGGTAAAGAGCTGGTCCACTGTTCCACGGCCGGGACGGAATCCGCACTGCTCCTCTTGAATCTGAGGTTCGACAAGCGGTCGGAGCCTCCTTTCCAGCACCCTGGCATAAGCCTTCCCCGGGAGGCTGAGTAGTGTGATACCCCGGTAATTCGAGCACACTCTCCGGTCCCCCTTTTTGAAGATGGGAACCACCACCCCGGTCTGCCATTCCATGGGCACTGATCCCGACCCCCATGCGACATTGAAGAGGCGTGTCAGCCAGGACAGCCCAACCATGTCCAGCGCCTTCAGCATCTCAGGGCAGATCTCATCCACCCCCGGCGCCTTGCCACCAAGGAGCTTTTTGACTACCTCGGCGACCTCTGCCAGGGATATGAGTGAGCCTCCCCCTAGGTCCTCAGGCGCTGCCTCCTCTGCAGAGGACATGTTGGTCGGGTTTAGGAGTTCCTCAAAGTGCTCTTTCCACCGCCCGACGAAGTCCTCCGTCCGGGTTAGCAGTCCCCCCCCCCCTGCTGAGAACAGCCTGGGGTAAGCCCTGCTTTCCCTTTCTGAGCCGTCGGATGGTTTGCCAGAACCTCCTTGAGGCCAACCGAAAGTCCTTCTCCATGGCCTCCCCGAACTCCTCCCATGCCCGAGTTTTAGCATTCGCGACCACCGCCGCTGCAGCCCTTCTGGCCTGCCGGTACCTGTCAGCTGCTTCAGGAGACCCCTGGGCCAACCAGGCCTTGAAGGTCTCCTTCTTCAGCTTGACGGCTTCCCTCACCTCCGGTGTCCACCACCGGGTTCTCGGGTTGCCACCACGACAGGCACCGATGACCTTCCGGCCACAGCTCCTAGCGGCCGCGTCCACAATAGAGGCTTTGAACATGGTCCACTCGGATTCCGTGTCCCCAACCTCCCTCGGGATGTGTGAGAAGTTCTTCCGGAGGTGGGAGTTAAAGACCTCCCGGACAGGGTCCTCCGCCAGACGTTCCCAGTTCACCCTCACTACACGTTTGGGTTTGCCGGGTCTTTCCAACTGGTTCCCCTGCCATCTGATCCAACTCACCACCAGGTGGTGATCAGTTGACAGCTCTGCTCCTCTCTTCACCCGAGTGTCCAAGACATACGGCCGCAGATCAAATGATACGATTACAAAGTCGATCATTGATCTCCGGCCTAAGGTGTTCTGGTACCAGGTACACTTATGAGCCACCTTATGTTCGAACATAGTGTTCGTTATGGCCAAACCATGGCAAGCACAGAAGTCCAATAACGAAACACCATTCGGGTTCAGATCGGGCAAGCCGTTCCTCCCAATCACCCCCCGCCAGGTTTCTCCGTCATCGCCCACGTGAGCGTTGAAGTCCCCCAGGAGAACTATGGAGTTGGTAGGCGGCGCCCTTTCCAGGACCCCTCCCACCGACTCCAAGAAGGCCGGATACTCTGAACTGCTGTTTGGTGCATAAGCACAAACCACAGTCAGAGCCTTGCTCCCCGCAACCCGAAGGCGCATGGAGGCGACCCTCTCGCTCTCCGGGGAGAACTCCAACACAGCGGCGCTCAGCCGGGGGCTCGTGAGTATCCCCACTCCCTCCCGGCGCCTCTCACCCTGGGCAACTCCGGAAAAGGACAAAGTCCAACCCCTCTCCAGGAGCTTTGTTCCAGAGCCAACGCTGTGTGTGGAGGTGAGTCCAACTATTTCTAGCTGGTATCGCTCCACCTCCTGCACCAGCTCCGGCTCTTTCCCCGCTAGCGAGGTGACGTTCCACGTCCCTAGAGCTAGTCTATGCCGCCGGCGATCGGTCTGCATAGCACCCGACCCCGATGCTTGTCCCTGCGGGTGGTGGGTCCACAGGGTGGCTGCTCCATGGTGTTTATTCGGGCTGAGCCCGACCGGGCCCCATGGGCAAAGGCCCGGCCACCAGACGCTCGCCTACGAGCTCCCCTCCTGGGTCTGGCTCCGGGAGGGTGCCCCGGTTTCCCTGGTCCGGGCGAGGTGGCTGTAGTCCGTGGGCTAACTATCATAGGGGTTGTT